TAGGAATCCAAAAATTGCTGTCAATGCAAGTGTCATCAATTAATTTCTTTTCGATATAGAGAATGCTGGAAATGGGGGCCAGGCAGCGTCGATTTATTCCATATAGGTATTAAAATAAAAGAACTCGCGAAGTTATAACAAAAAACAAAAGTTTAAAAAATTATAAAGGCAACCACTTATAGCTTATTAAAAAAAAACGAAACAATTAAAAACATCACATTTAAAATGATAAAAACATTCTTAAATAAAACAAAAACGTTAATTAGATTGCACTACATATATCAATTATATAAAAGCCCATCTTTGTACGATAAAGAGAATATGTATTTTATAAAATAGAAATATACACAGTAAAACTTGTTTCAAGCTTTTTATGTTGGGTATACAAAATTGTATAAATAAAGGAAAAGACATAGAAAATAACGGACGTGGGTGATAGCATGTTTTAAAATCATTTATTAAGTTTACACGGAAATTTCTTTACATTGATGAATATCGACCTGGAACCTGTTTTGAGATATGTATAACCGTGGAAATATACCGTGGAAACATAATATATCAGGGTTAAAATTTTATATTAAAAAAAAATCGTATGACAGAATGCAAATACTTGCAAGCTACTTCATGAGTATTTGCTTTGCGATAGTTTCACTGTGTAACGTTGTTAAATAGAAAATTGCTTGTTGCTAGTGTGAATTGTTGGATTAATTATTTATTTAGCAGAGAGTCGGATGTTTAATGCTATTCCACTATACTGCCTGAGGTTCATTTTCAGATAGAAGGAAATATTTTAGTTAGTTAAGGCTACATCTTGCAATATTTTTTGACTTACTTCTATCTAATCTGAGATTCTTACGACTACGCATTTAAAATGAAAATATGTCTACTATAACGAAGTTAGTCGTGAAAATCGTTTAATTTAAAATATTTTTGGCTACATTAACGTAATTTTAATATGCTTGAGAAGTTTTAGGTACTATATTGAAATATGATTAATCTAGAGAATAAGATAAAAACACATAATATTACTATTGAAACACTAAAACTTGATAATTACGTAATAAATGAATTCTTAGGAACAATTAGACAAAAAGTTATCATTAAATTGGAAATTATATACAAAGAGGATAAATGTTAAATAAAAAAGATATTGATTACAAGCAGAATATGCAGGAAATGTTTACTGAAAGAATGTTTTTTTCATATATTTTAACAGTAATTCATAAATAACTACGAATATTTTATATGGTTCGTACAAAATGTAAATTAAATCACTTTAATATCGCCGGGCAATGTAACTGAAATAAATTTCTCTCTTATCGGATTGCATGGTGAATTTGATGCGTCATAAATTAGTTGAAGGTCTTCGTAGACCTAACATTTCATTTTGAATATTGATGTGACCTTGTCCTTTGCGATTTACTCGGGATCCCGAGACTCGATGTTCATAAATTTTAAATTAGCAGTTTAAGTAGAACATTGCCAGCATCGAACCATTAATATTTTATTCTGAATGTCAATAGTTTTGCTAATTTCGTTCACTTCGTTTTATTATTTTATATTTTTTGTGTAATAATTTATTTTTAATATTGAAGTGTAACAATATTTGGTACTGTCAAATACATTTTCTGAAATGTAGTTGTTTTGGAGCGAGCGCATGCTAAAAGTCTAAAAATTCATCAGCTATTCTGAAACGAAACGAGACGAATTTTGCGAATTCTGTACGAAATGCTTTCGTGAATGTTAACCCGACGACGGGATGCATGAAGATATGGAGATTTTCGAGAATAAAACTACGTTTTTTAATCACCATGAAGTTGTGACTTATTTATAACAGTAAAAAACTTCAAAAACTGAGATTGCAACTTATATTCTTCACTACTTGCATAAGATAAAATTGAATATACATATGTATTTAGTTTTATCGATATATGAGGTGCTTTTTAAATAGTATTAATTTATAAAATTATAAATTTAAAATATATGTACTATTTCTAAAAGAAAAAAAATATTTTAATTTACTTATTGTGACACTTATTTATTGAAAATACAATAAACCACTTAAGGAAACCACTAAGATAACTTAGTTTCATAATATATATTCAACATTTTTATTTCCTACTTTTCAAAAGGAATTTTATCAAAAGAACATTTTCTTTTGTCCAAGGTAACGTTTGATATCGCTTGGAGCGGTCCCTTTTTCGTTTTAAAAAGATCATTTTCTACTTTTCGATAATATTCATAAATAAATAAGGCATTTTTCAAATATAACCTTTTTCAATGTCTAAGGGTAACACAGCTATCTGTTTATATTGTTTCAGTGTTATGTTACAGATATAATCGATTGAAGTAATCATCATCATCATCAGCCTATCAGACGCCCACTGCTGAGCAAAGGCCTCTTTCTCACATGGAGAAGGTTTGAGCATTAATCACCACGCTTGCTCAGGACGGGTTGGTGATTTCAAACTTATAATTGTGAAACTATAAGTAGTCCAGGTCCAGGTTTCCTCACGATGTCTTCCGTCACCGTATGTCAGTGATGTCTAAATACTCTCAGAAAGTACATATGACTCCTAAAAATCACATTGGTACTTGCCAGGTTTGAACCCGCGCCCTCGGCAATGAGAGGCGGGCCCCTTAACCACTAGGCCACCACTGACTATTGAAGTAATAAAAGTATAAAATTATTGTCTTTTTGTAGAACGTAATTAAATGTGAGTTGACGGTTCAGTAATGTTGATCACAAGGGAGCGGAGTAGACATCTCAGTAATGGAGAAATGCAATTTGCTTTACAGTGTAGCTTCATCCAACGTTTCTTTTTGTGTTATTCGCAGTACCTTAATTTACATTTAACATATGGTCTTTTTTATTTATCTAACAGTATTTTACAGGAATTAATATACCTATTGAAAATTGTATAATGAAATTATATAAACTGAAATCTAATCGCCAAAAAATAGTAATTCTACTGGGACTTAAATGAAGTGTGGAAATCGATTGAGGTCCAATATTGTACCTCGAAAATTGGGGATTATAAAAAAAATATTATGATTTCTTAAAACATGTTGCTAGTTACAAAGTGTCAAATTTTCTAATTCAATTTTGTTCTGCGCTATATCTGACATTACTGGCATTGATTGGTTCAACATGAATAGTAATCTGTAGTTCCTAGAGTACAGGGATTCGCTATCACATGCACAGGTGCTATGTACTAAATTTCTCTACCTAAATCCTTATCTCTGCTAGTTGATTGTGCAGTTTTAAAAACTGTAATGGAAATACAAACAAGAAAGAAATATTAAATTTTAATAGGCCGTAAATCAATTTGGAAATCAATTTGTGACAGAAGCGAAAGTTTTTGACAAAAATACGTGGAACTTTGAAAGTACAAGAAAGATAAAAAACATTGATTAAAAATAGAAGGAAATAAAAAGATCAGAGATACCAATTCTATGCATGTTTGTATAGATTTCACTCGTGTAGAATTTACCGCGGCAGTTAGATTTTTACATCGAATTTAATTCTGTATACCGTGAACAGATTTAAAACAGGATTTTCAAATACAATATACAGGGTGTATGAAAAACTGTGTCAACCCCCTTAACTGCGTTATCAATATCGAAAATGGAACACAATCAAACAACTTACATTTACAAACTCTTCAATAAAAATAATAAAATTAAATATTAAATGATCATTATATGTAGAGTAACAAAATGTTTGTAAGCCCTGGTATAACACGATGACACTCAATGACTATCAAATCATCTTTTTCAGCTTTTATACCTTCCCTGAATCTCCACGAACATTTCAAGACTAAGATGAGATAAATCCGTTCAGCTGTTCTCGAGTTTTAGCGAGACTAAGGAACAGCAATCCATTTATATATATATATATATATATGGAAGATGAAAAAGTAATTTTAGTCCTTTAATTGAATTTGAGTTAAAAATATATATTATTTGAGAAATGAAAATATTTGTAAGTAGTTTTTTAAATTGTTAAAGTATCTTAATTAAATTCAAATTCTCTCCAAAAAAATATTTCCAAGCAAATCTGCGAATCATAAAATCGGCTTCTATTAGTAGGTCTATTGTTTTTAAGAATAATAAGAATAAATTATGTTGAACCATCATATTTCTTAATATAAATCACATTCATAAGATTTTAAATCTCTTTACAAGTTTTTTATTAAGAACTTAGTTTTATTAATGAAACACTAACATAAAATAAAAATTCATTAAATTAATTTAAAAGTTCTCATTCATTTATTTAAGAAGCAAAATTTAAGAAATCCTTTCATTATAAAATTTGTTGCGAATATTTAATTTAAATAAGGCACGTTAGCAATAAGCTTTAAATAGTCAACATTCAGAAAAACGTAATCAGATTAATGCAGTCTTTGATTTAAAATATTGTGCATAGTGAGGTTGCCTATTATCGATTTTATTAAACTTTTATTTTTAGGTTACGATTGTATGACGTCATAATTTTAAAATATATTTTTTGTTGTCTACATTTTAGTGTATCTTATTTAGTGTTTAATTAACAGTTTTAATATTGAACTGTATTCAAAAGTATCAAAAGTTTATCTCTCTCCCTAAACTTGTACCACCTGTACTTTAAGTACCTGTGTAAGTACTTTAGATTTAACCTCCGCTGTCGATAGGCGATTAATGTTCAGGTTTCAACGTTATCGCCCATACAAGGCACTGGCAGTAAAGCTGCACTAACGGTTACTGTAATTAGCTTCGTCAATTTTATCGTTAGTGGCTGTAAAACGAATAGGACCTGAGAATAAGTCCTTAAGCCTTAATAAAGCTTTTAGGATACGTACACTTAACTATAATTTATTCTAATCCGCCTATTATTTAATATTTAAAGACTTATCTCATGTTTATATCCGTAAGATAAATTTTACGATTAAGACATCCATATAACTAAGAAGGGAAAATCCCTTAAGACACGGTATTGTTCTAAGCTATTAATTACAAATCTAGTACATTAATGCAAAAAGCCACTTACTTGTTGCGCTAACTTCTGGCCCCAGAGACTCGAAGGCTTTTCCAAAACTCAATTTCAGGAGGCGATCGGAATCTGCAAAATTTAGTAAAATTAGTTACAACGCCATCTAGGGATCTTTTTAAAATTTGTAGCAAAAGCAAAGCTGCCTGTGAATGAGTAGGTTGCTTATTCATGAAGTAGTTTCTGCTAATATTGATAGATGTCACTTCTGTGAACGTTTTGTTTAGATGTTTTGGGATCTTTAGTTACTAAAAATTTTTGTGACTTTAAATATTATTTAAACATTACATTACACACCTTGTTTTACTTGAAAAAAAAATCATTTCCTAAGTTTTGACACCTGCCATTGAGCTTATGAATGAAATAGAAATATTTCAAAAAAATATCCAATTAAAATGTACAGTAACGTTCCTTGGTATGATTGTAATAAGATACGATGTTTATTTTAATTTGAATTTAAGGTCTTTGAAAGAAAATGTATATAATCTCCAACTGAGCGTTAAAATAATAATTGGTCATAATATTTTGGCATTAAGTCGTTAGATTATGATATTATTATTTGAAATGTTGTAAATTTCCCTCCGTTAGTTTATTTATTTAAAAATAAACTCTATGATGATCTCCAATTCAACTTATCCTACCGCCAAATAAATATTAAAACTGAAGTATACAGTATATGAATATACATATTCTTTTAAAGTTTTATACATTATAATATTTATTAGTACATACTTCGATTGTATAATAGAAAAAATATCTTTATCAATTCAAAAATACTTTAAAATATATCCATTATGATATTATAATATTCAACATTACTATTATAAAGTGAAACTGATATGTTTTTGATACATTATACATTTTGTCGTTATTATTCTTTACTATTTGTATTCTATATATTCTTCTCTCCTCTATTTATTCCGTTCTTACGATTCCTCGCGCGTGATGAATTCAAAATGTTAAATTTCAAACAGGATCGTATTCGCATCTCAGTGCAGTTTCGTTTTAATTAAAGTCGGAACGGAGCCAGATAATATCTTTCACTTCTTGAATATGCCTTTATTAGATATGTGAAGTATGTTTTGAAACAGTTTTAATATGTATAGCGAAGTTATAAGCTATTAAGAGAACTCTAAGCCGGCTGGAGTCTTGCCAACGCAGCTTTTCGTACCTTGTTGGTTGCAAATACAAATGGTCGGATATATTACGACAGTTTTCAAACCAATTTATGCCAAAGTTTCATTGAATGCCTTTTAATTTAAAAGTCGACAAACCCGTATCATATTTCTGACAGTGGTCAGTAAAAAGGACGGGCGCCTTGAATTTTAATGTATTTTTCCTATAATTGTGCAATGGAGTAAGACTTAATCGATCGTTTTATTTTAATTTTTTTGTATTATTGGCTATGAAACAGTTTCTCACATAATTATTCTTAAGTATTTTATTATATTCAATAAATTAATCTGCTTTAAAGATACTTTTATTGAAACTGAAGAATAAAAATATTGTACTAATTAGTTTTTTCATCACCATGGTCTCGTTATTACTTATTCAATAATAGTATTTTCAATTATATTCAAGTCATAAAAGAATTTGTTATTGATTTTCCAACCAAGGGAATGTGTATTTTATAAAATAATTTGAAAGGTTAAATGTCGTGACAATATTAATATATATAAATGTATATATATTATATTTATAAGATTTTTTCTGTAAGAATTGGGGAAAAATGTATTGTATATTGGAGAAAAATGTATTGTGGAGTTTTAAATAATCAGTAATACTTATTAAAATAGTTTTCATTTATACCTGCTGCTGTGGAATCTGGTGGTGGTTGGAAATGGAAAGTGGCAGCGAAGCCTTGTTCCGGAGATACGGAGTTGGCAGTGAATTGTAGCAATAAGTATGAACCCGTCAATAATACTTCATAACCTGAAATAAAATCAAAACATACATTTGAAACTTTACAATTGTATCACATCCCTACAAATATTATAATTGCGAAAGTAACTCTGTCTGTCTGTCTGATACGCTTTCACGCATAAACCACTGAACTAATTTTAATGAAATTTGGTACAGAGATCGAGTTGACCTTAAGGAAAGAACATAGGATAATTTTTATCCCAGATTTTTGAAAGGTTCTCTTGGAAACGCGATATAACCGACCTCCACGCGGGCGAAGCTGCGGGCGGAAAGCTAGTACTATAATAAATACTTGATAAATGTCATTACATTTCCAATATGTCACACTAATTAATTATTATAGTTCAATAATAAATACTTGGGTTCTTCTGTAAATTTTGCCTGCTAATTCGAATGGCAGTCAATAAACTATGTCTATGTTAGTTGAACTTTTGTCCTGAACAAAATAGGTACGTAGCCTTTATATGAAAACAAAGAAAAATCCAATAGGAAAAAATATTTTATATAAAAATATATTTCGTGGTATACGATAACTAAGAAGTTTTGGTGAAAGATACTATAAATCTATATATTTATATTAATTGTCTAATTTTGTTGTACCTTTGTTATGTTTATATTAGAAAAAGTATTGTATTGCAACAAAAAGCCATATTTTTATTTATATAGAAATTGTTATGTCGTGAGGAACACATCCTCATACATGGAAAATTCTAATTCGACAATTATTACATTAATATGAAAAGGCTTCTATAGTAAAATTTTTCGTTATTTCTACAACATACATAATAATCATTCTTGAACATTATAAAGATAGTATGTTTAAATTTTAAAAGAGGCTTAAATATCTGTGTAATAAACAATTATAAATAACAAAAACTATATATGTCGTATTAATACTCGTAAAAGCATTTAAATTTAGTCATCCTCTATCATTTACTTTAATATCAGTAAGAAAATTAAATTCAATAAAGTCTTTATAACTTTGTTACTAGTTTAGGACGTCTTTAAATTTGGGTCGTTTTATTCCTATCGGGCTTGAAATCAAACAACACAATATCGATTTTTTTAAAGTTAAGTCTTTATCAATAATTCAATTCCAATCTACATCAAAAACACTGGCAATATGTTCCTAAAAACTAAATTTAAATTGTTCATATAGCTGTAGAGTTCCTTTGCAATATAAGTTACATTAAATGAATTTCAAAGAAGTGCTTGAAATACCGCAGTAGTTTAAATAAAGTAGCCGGTGGACTAGGAACTAAAAGTCGATTTCACCTCACATTGTTCTTTCAATAGCGGACTGCGTCTTCTGATGTCTACGTCAGTTCACGATCGATGGACGATGTCCTAAAATTAAAGCGCTCGGAACCATTGTAATATAAAACATCATACAAAAACTGTGCCACCGTACATTTTATAAGAAACAAGCTTTTAAATAGATTTGTTTACCATTGAAAGTCATATTAAATATTGATTCGAGGTAACTGCTATATATTTTGTATCTATCATATTGAATGAGTTACTACGGAATGCTACACTGTACATTTGAAATACGTCTGCTTATTTGAATACAAATTCAGTAACACTTCGCAATATTCCGTATGAATTAGAAGTGTATAAGCGACAATGATTGATTGAAGTGCGCTTAGTAGAAGGTTATATTAAAAGTAGTTTCCTTGAGTGAGTATGGTGGCTGTGAATTATTTATTTTATCGATAAATGTCAAGAACAAACAATGTCATAGTTTTAGTTTGCTTTGTTTTCTAACATATATAAGGGAAAGTTATGTAAAATTTTACGAACACCACCAAACTTGAAATAAAAAGGGTTTCATAATCATATCATTGCAATTTTTAATTATTCGATTCCTTCTTTAAATATACGAAAAATATACCTGTTATTATGTTTGTTTTAGAACGATAGATTTAATTGAAATATAGTTCCGCGAAATAGTATTTAAATGAAAAAACATTTGAAGTAAATATAAGTGTGGAAATATTAAAATATAGCTCCACAATAATAGCTATTGAAACGATAACATACTATCCATTTTACTCCCATGATATTGTGGGTTACGGATGTTTTAAATGTCAGTTTCCTGCCAATATACTTGCAGTTCAAGTCAAGATACACATGAATTCACTCTTATTATATATCTTGAAATACCTAAATATAAGTATTAAGAAAATACTGATGATTGTTATCATTATAAAGATTTATATATTTAATATTTTTTATTAAATCTTGTATAACTATTGCCTATATTTAATTTTATGGTTTACAGGAAATCAGTTTGTATTTTGTCGTACAGTTCAAAATATAATTTATTTGTGATTTTTTTGTTAAGGATATAGTAAACTATTGCACACTTTATTAAAATTATCTCCGTGTTTGGAAATACCTACTCAGTAAAGAGTATAAATTAAATTCATCACACTAAAAATTCGAAATTTCGATTTATTACAATACTTTTACACGCGTGTACACCAAATATTTTAAAACAGTTCTAGCCCTCTCGATCACTGTTTCATTCTTTTATATCTCATCTTTTAACATTTTTCTACTTTAGTTATTCCTTCCTCCGACAATGTTGTCAAAGGCTAATATTAAAATAATTATCTTTGTTTAAACTAAATTAAATAAATTAATAATTTACGATGTTTGGATGGTCTTATAAATAGGTTTTGATGAAAATTATGTTGTTTGAAATATAATTTTATTTTCCCTAAGATTTTATTAATTTATAAACATAACCTACAAGACAGGTATAATTATTAAGTTAGTAACAATTTCCTTGTATATAAGGTAACGTTAAAGATATTAACATTTACCTGTTAGTTCGTTGCACAACATTGCGATGGCCGGTGCGTTTGTGTCTCTACCGTCGAACACTTTGATGATATCCGCCCGACGCAGGCAACTGCAAATAAGTTTAGCTTTAATCTACGTTGGATAGTCAACAACGATATTCCTTAAGCCTTTTACTGTACGGATGAAATACTAATATAATGTATCCGTTTATTGATGTATATTGTCATTGTTATTTCGTTACAAAAATGTTTGAGCATTTGTTTGTATCTTTGAGTACAGCTTAATCCATTTTCATTATAGTACTGTCTAAAACTGACCACAGATTTTCATAGCCGAAACACTTTCTATATCAACAAGGTATTTTATGTTGCTATTATATACTATTGTATCAAACATTTCTTTGTTACAGGTAGTAATAAAGTTGTTGATACTTTTATTATGTATAGAGTTGCTAATCCAGTCTACTACCAAAAGGTATGGTGTATCTAAATTCTAAAACCACATTGTACACTCTGTACACTAGATTTGGTTCGGATTCATTACAAGGCTGTATCTTGACCAACCTTGTTACTGATACAAGTAAATTAGGTTTAAGGGATTGTCAGATATATTTTACTTAAGGACAAAAACTGAGGATTTCTTTGAAGATTTACTTCCTTACAGACATTAAGAAGATTATTTTCCTTTCATAAAGAACATTAAAGTGGTTAGTTTATTATATCCGAAATTATTATTTGTATTAAAGAGACCAGTCTTTTATTGTTAGCCATTTTAAAATGTGACTACAGCATAAACAGTTTCTAATTATTTTGTCAATATTCTTGAGAAGGATTTAAAAAAAAGTGTAATTTATCTGACGAAGTTTTCGGGTAAAATCAAGATGTGAATGCACTGAAATATGTTATCGTGATAGAATTGAACTTTAAAAGTCACATTGCTTTGGTTACAAAATGTTATTATTAGGCAAGACTTCGTATTTAACAGTACTGGGCTCTTGTAGTCCAAATATTCCTATAGTCTATGAAATATTCCTTAAACAGAGGTGATTTATACAAGCAATATTTCTTTATATATGTATAAGTTGGCCTGTATCGGACTAAATACGATAAAACTGAATTATAATCTCAAAAAACTACACATGTAAAGCAGTTTAAACTCGGGGAGAAATCGTGTATCATATCTTAAAAGGCGTGAAAGTGAAAATATGAAGATACGTCAGCGTCGTAAACGTCTACCTTATTTGAATATTTAATACACTACTGCTCTCTTTAAAAATCCTTATAAGATTAAGATTCTATAGATATGGATATCATTTAGAAGATAGTTTGTGTTTTTATTAAAATTGAAATTGGAATATAGATTGAAAAATTCATAGAAATGATCAGAATCTGAATCTGCAACCTCTAGAATATCACGTCCTAAGTCTGTTACAAATTATGAGATCACTCCTAGACTCAAGACGGTGAAACAAGAATTATATAGTTGTATTAATATTTATGTTATATGTATTAATTTTTATTTTGTCATATATGATCGTCAAATATCACGTCCTCAAATATCGATAGTAATTCACCAGTCACCCTGTATATTTTTTTTGTTGCCAAAGCTATTAAAGATTCAATATCTGATCATTTTACGTTTCCTACCAGTGGTGACGTGGGTATGTTACCATGTTTTGTTTTGTAAGAAGCCAGTTGGAAAAAAATATAAATCATGTTTTATTGAAATACGTAATCATAAGAATCGTAATTTTAAATTCATACACTTTATAATACTCAAGAAATACTTATTATAGTATTCGTAATGTAAAAATAATAATAATAAATCAGTGGTGGCCTAGTGGTTAAAAGGGTCCGCCTCTCGTGCACGAGTAATTGAATGTGATTTTTCGGAGTCATATGTACTTTCTGAGAGTATTTAGACATCACTGATATACGGTGTAGGAAAACATAGTGAGGAAACCTGAACTTATAATATCACAATTATAAGTTTGAAATCACCAATCCGTCTTGAGCAAGAGTGGTGATTAATGCTCAAAAACCTTAACCTTCTCCATGTGAGAAAGAGGCCTTTGTTCAGCAGTGGGCTCTGATAGGCTCATGACAATGTATAAATATATTTATCAAACAGTAATAACATAAACACATATGTACATGTATGTTACTAGTAAATTAACTTTATAATCTATGTGTTTTAATCAAAGTCAGCATTATTGAATGTAAGCGTCAATTAGTTTAATTGTAATTTAGATTATATACATACATTGTTTGTTATATGCAGTCATAGAAAATACTAGTGATATTTATTTATTACTACGATATATGTGGATAAAATTATATTTTCAGGTCAGTTACAGTGATTTTTTATTTATAATTTGATATAAATTATAATTTATATTAGAAAATATAGAATGAAAAGTTAATTGACATGGGCAGGATGACTTTATCATTAAAATTTTTTTAATTGACATTATTATCTATAATCAGTATTAACATAATATTTTTTAATGTTAAAATATAATTTTATAAAGAAAATTTGTAGTTTCGATTACTGTAGGCGTAAACGGTAAACCGGATCTGGAATAAAAGTTTTAAAATATAGTTTTATTTGAATTAATCTATATTTCAAACTAAAAACTGCAAATAGAACCAAATGTGATATCGAAAATATTTAACAACTAATAGATAACTTTTGTCAAGTGTAAGTAGTTTGGCAGTCTGAACCAAAAGTATAGCTTCCTACGAAGAAAGTTACGATGTCACCAGGATATAATATAAATTGCCTTTTGCTTGAGTGATTGTTGATTCAGGAAATATTATAAATCAATTGTATTTATTATCAAATATTTATTGTATAATTGAATATATATTATCAATATTGTAATAAAGAAATATAATTATTACATAAAATACTTAACTAAAAGTGTAAATAACAAACGTTTTCTAAGCCCAAGACATCTTGTGGCATTCTTTTTATTTACAAAAAAAATATTTTTCTTAAAAAATATCAATATCATATATACAAAATTTTAAATCAGAATATAAAATTGTTGTTTTTTTATGAAATATATAAAAATATGTTATGAATACCCTACTCTAATCCATAAGCAAATTCATCTTATGTTACAATATAAAATAAATAAAACACAATGCTCTGAAAAGTATTTTAAATTAATAAATCATGGGCCCTTTCAAGAGGAACTTGTTATTGGCAGAGACTCATAAAATGTGAATAATAACAAATTTCTCAGATTGAGCGATTTATTTAACAGGTTGAAATTACTTTCAATTCTGTATACGAAATGAATGAATGAATTGGTTATAAAAAGTACTGCGAACTACGTTGGTGTTTGTCAACAAGATTCTGCCATATCTTCTAAAATGGAGACCAATCACATTGAACTCGTTGTTGAAATACAACCATTTTCTTATGGAACAGAAGCTACTGAAAATAAACAAAGAGTAAGAAAGCTCGTGACCGCTTCTAAAAATAAAAAAAGTTTAGCGACACAAATCATTCTCGAAGAATCAAAAAAAGAAAAAGATATCTACAATCCGTGATATATGCTTGATAGTCTTAAAAATCAAAGTGCATCTAAAATCACACCTTTATTTAAGGCTACAAAAGAAGTCAACATGTATGTATCAAAATTTACTATATCAAGAAAAAATACAAAGAGTGAATGGAGTAGTCCACTACAGAGGTAGTAAAATGATCGTGACTTTACCCCGATTCAGAGAAACTATGAGTACCTATAGAAGATACAACATAGTTGTTATGTACCTATGTTTTTTGCTAACGGATGTTTATAAAATATGTCCTGTTAATTAATTGGAGATGAATGAGGTTTACTTCGAGCAGTATGTTACAACTGAGTTCTTGACGTAGACGAAAAAAGATGAGGAAACTTAATATAAAAAGAACGTTTATCTGTATGTTTAATAATATATTAAATTTTTTAAAGTTATTGTTTAAGACGTAGAAGGAATCGTATTTTTAAGTCGTAAATTATTGCCACTAATTATGTCAGCCTAAATAATATTGTCAATAGTAAAATATATAACACAAATACTTATATTAATTATTTTTGAACTGGCCGGTACAAAGTTGAGATAAAGTACGAAAGATGGTCTACTGAAAATAATTAGAAAGTAAGAATATTGGTTGCCATACAGGATTGTTAAACGAGAACGTTACGTCAAAGGTCTTTAAACTATTTGCAAATTAGACTGTTTTATAAACTAATTTAAAGTTTCTTACAAACGGTCTCGTTTCGTTGACAGCAAAAATGTAAACGACCCACCTCTATTACCTTAAAGTATGTTTTAATATTAAAAGAAAGTGCAGCTGAACACTTAGATTAAAAAATTTATTTGAATAAATATTTTGACTAGTCTCAAATCGAAACAGTCTTATTTCGTTTTATTAATCTTATTTTATTTTATATTTTAATTTATACACATATATAAGAAGCAACTTAAAATTAAAAATTTCATAAATTCGTTATTAATATAAGACTTGCTTCTGTAAAAACAACAAACCACACCAGCAGAAAGTCTTTCTAGATTGCTAAGCGAGTCTTCTGCCGTGTACAAGTATTCCAATAAATCAATTAAACACTTAAAAGAGACGATTCGCCTTCGCCAAATATTCAGGTATTGTTATCATAAATCACTCAAAAACAAAATCTATGCAAATATGTTCACCCTACAGCAATTACGTCAAGCAAAAGATGTTAAACCTAAAAACTTATCCAGATCGTATAAAACTATTACAAATAAGGTTAAAATTAAAATGTAAACCACACTATGACAAATTATTTAACATTTGTAAAATAATGAAAGTCGAATATCTTATTGCTATAGAGCAATTCCATATAAATAATACAAGGACACGAGTACACACAAATATTTCACTACACTTGCTAAGAAGGGAAAATACGTAATTCCATCCATAACAAACTGCTATGGCAAACGGACAAGACAATACTTGACACCGGTCATAAATAATAAGATAGAAATGTTAAGAACTTAAGAAGCATTGCTGAAGACACGAGCATAGCATCATTAAAAAGAAAACTAAAATGTAAACTCCTAGAAAATTTA